TTGATGTTGTCGGAGGGGTAGTGCACTGCGTCCTGAGACAGGTTGACAACGCTAGCAGGTTGGAAGGACATGGGCACTGACAACTTTCTTCGGTTGGGTTTGGGACTTGCGGGCCGTCCTTTTTGCATTTTTGGCGACGATCCAACTGGCTTCGAAGATAGCTGTACCGGTTTTTATTGTTCTTCGCCAAGCGGATCGGTCCTGCGCGATTTCCTCCCAGGTTGTCGTGTTGAGTTGGAGTTCTTCAGGGTGTCCTTGTGGTCCCTCTTTTGTCTTCATTGGCGGCGAGCACACACAGCGACAACGTAGTCGTTGGCCACTCCACCAGAGTTGAAGTTGCCTCAGCATTGCGTGGCTGCTGAGGATTCCCGTTCTCTCTGGAATTTCCATGTCCGAGATCCTGTCTTGTCATTGCAGCTTCCGTATGCGGCGGAAGATGGAAATGGTTCAGCATCCGAGCTTTGCTGTGTTCCACGGCCCATGGCCCCGTTCCGTATAAGAGTGTCGTGAGGACGACGGTGTTGTATACCTCCAGTATAATGGACAGTTGGATGCTATGGCGCTTCCAAATGCTGGCATGCTCCTGCATTTTAATAAGCCTGTTTCCGTCTATCTGAACAAACCACGCTCTGGTTAAATTACAAATTAGTAGTATTACTTTTCCCACTGATTTTCGATGCCTATGTAAATTAAAATACACAGAGGTTCATAGAGAGCCCCTTTGAGGGTTCATATTGATAATAACTACTTACCTGCAATTTTCAGTAGGTCGAATTTCGGCCTATCCAACCATTTTCTCAATTATGTTAACCAGTAGTATTTGTCTTATAGTCTTATTAGTCAGTAGGCAACCTTTACTGCACCAATATGAGTTTATATTGGTCAATTGTATTCTCTCCTGATACTTCTCACACACGCATAGCTTAATAAAACAATTACAAGCGTCGTTTATTTCTTTCTACTGTTCACTTTCCATGCATTTTCCACGCATTACCTACTCCTTTTTCAAGTATTAAACATTTAAATACGATTTCTGGGCAGGTGGTCTTTACAATTTGGCGGGCTTACGATGAATCGGTACCTTAAAATATATTGAAAAACCTCATAATTAGAAACTATAAAAAACTCAATATACCCTCTCTCTGAACATAAACATGGCAAAATATATTATTCGCTATGCAGCGAGCACAAGAAATGATTTATTGTGTGTTTTCTTTAAAATACATTTTAATTTATAAACAAATCGAACACCAATAGAAAATAGTAATGCTAATTAAGCAGTTAATTTTCGCAAGTGGCCAAAAAGAAGCGCATTCAAAAGCCGATATGCTGAAAGAGGTAGCAATCTATCATAGAGGTCACTGTGGAAATCAAGCCGCCAGAATTCTATAATAAGTGACCGGTGGTAATCGCATTTTATTTGTCATTTAATGCTTTATTAAATTAATGAATTCAATATTAATTATTTTCATTTTAGTTTATTTTTCCATTACCGCAAGTTTTGTCGTTGCTTTTTATCGGTTTCTGGTAATAATTTTGGCTACTTTTTCCTGTTTTGTTGGATATGGTTCTTTTGGTGCCTCTCCTTCGTCTCCGTATTGCCCCACTGTATTACTGATTTACTGAGGTTTGGTTTCCGTCTTGAGCCTTATCATAGACTGTTACCCCGAAAGATCATTGAATTTTGCCGTATGACGATCGATTTTACAACCCCACTTAATTACTCCTTCCTATTTGAAAATGCACCTTAAAATTTCCGTTACTATTTCCTTAGATCATTCACATGTTGTAATATATCTGAGTGCAGTCTAGGACTGTGTTTCTCGATTCCCAATAGGTGCCTTTGCATTTCTTGACTTTCAACTTACCACTAAGTGATCGCCTTTTTGATTCGCGTTCAAACCTCCACCCAGATGGATCTGTCTCCCAGCCCTCAGCGAGGCTCGTACATCGCCTGGTTTGGCGGCTCTGCCTAATCGTCAGGTCTTTGTCATTGGAGGCTACAATGAGCGTGATCTTGCCAAGGTTGAGTACTGTCAACTGCCGGCCACACTGTCGCAGGACATAACCACCACCGACAACAGCCCCGAGTTCTGGCGCGAGGCCGCACCCCTGAATATTGCCCGCTGTGGTCTCGGGGTGTGCGTCATGGGCGATAGGATAATTGCTGCCGGTGGTGTCGCCTCAGATGCCGTGGAAGTCTTTCAGCCGCCCAACGCCCAGAGCCAGCATGGCCAATGGACGCTAATCTCGCGGATGAATCAGGAACGCTACAAGTTCTCTCTCGCCGCCGGGCAGGGTTATCTTTTTGCTTTCGGTAAGTTGTTCTTCTTTTCCTTTTATTTTGATTTGCCCC